CTTTGGACATGTGCACTATTAGCGTTAGCTACCTTAACGTGTAGGTTTGGTCAAACAGCTTGGAAAACCAACCCCAGATCTTGGTTGGATGTCAGCTGCCTCACACCCTTTGGTCACTTGATGTTAAGCCCAACCATTCCACGACTTCTTTACAGTAAAGATAAGGATATTGGCTGCATGGTTTGCTTCATTGGCCTTGTTCATCAGAAATCCATGGAGTTCCCCAAACTGACAGGAAACCCCCATCACTGCTGCGTGCAGCGCTGAAGCAGTGTTTACCAACCGTTCTGTGAACAGCCCCTCTTCGGCTACAGCCAAATATTTCAAATTTTGACTTATCAATCTTATCAATATGCCATCTGCCACATTTATGCACTAAGCCCCTTTGTTGTTGTTGTGGATAATTGAGTGTTATGGAATGCATGTTACTTTGGTTCCCATCAGTACTGTGATCAATCTTACCATGGTGTATGACCTGTGACATTAAGCCGTCTTCCACAACGCCACATTGGTAGCCACGTTTGGCTGTTTCACTCCCAGCTTTCCTACACAGATGTTTCTGTTTTATACTTGTGTTTTAATCTTTAGGTGAAAATATTAGTACAGTTTTGGTGTTATTGCTCCTAATCGTACACCTGACTATAATAAGTTCGCTGATTTAGATTTTGCCTCAACTTGTCTACCCTACACTCAAAAAGTTTTTAATTTTACAGCATTTTATCACTGCCTCAAACATAAACAGTTCTCTTAACTGTTTTAGTCTAGAATCAGGTTCTCGAGCTCAATGGGATTCGTTCTCAGCAATTGTTTACTTAGTTTAAGCCTAAAACACAAAATATGACTTTTTAAAAACTATTTATCTATCTTCTATCTTTTACTTGGAACCGTAAGATACTTTCATGGGAAATCTTTCTGAAGCAGTATAAGTGCATTTTCAAACAAAAACAAAGTAGGGTGGATGTAGCCTCTGACAGACAACCTCTCAAACACATTAAACAGTTCATGTCGATAAAACCTAGGTTAGCGCATGCACACACTGGTGGGTAACACCCGAGCTTGGCACAGTCACACATGTAGAAAGATGTCTTAAAGAAAACAATGACTTCCTTTCCTGGCTCCCCTTCAGTCACTAAAGAAGTCAAATGTTGCGTCTTTATGACATCTTTTCTGAATGACAAGCCGGGTGTTACCTACCAACTCCTTCGTCCCTCTTTCACCGCACCACAGCACCACTCGGCTTCACCCATCATGCTCAGCTCAATTAAAGTTAAAAAAAATAAATTAAAGAGTTCAATGAAGCCTTTCTGAATTCCTTGGGGCATTTGTTCATTATTTTAACGAGACAAATTTCAGGAGGTAGACTTGTTTGCTCAAGATTCGCCTCTGGTTAGATGGATTCTTTTTTCTTTACTTTTTTTTTGAGATCAGAGTCTCTAATTTCAAGTCAAGTGACCGTTGGCCTTTTAATGGCTTCTGACCCTGTGTGATCGGTGAGGTCGTGCTGCCGTAGCGTGCACATAAGCATTCTCCTCCTCCTCTTTCCTTTCACTAACAGTTGACCCTAGATGTCCTGCAGCTGCTTAGAAAGCCCCAGGAACGCCCTCTAGTGTCCTTTTACTACTCCACTCTTTCATGCTCATGATTCTGTAGATGCAAGTAGCTGTGTTGTGCCAGTGTTTGTGTGTGATCATTGACCTGTCATTGACCCGATCATGTTGATGTAGTAGCTTTGAGTAAAGTGAAGCATGGACTCATTCCATAGTGAATGAGTCTCATAATGAAAAGATTATAAATTGGTCAGATGTGACTTCATGCAAAGAACTTGCATCCAGTGTATTCTCACTGCACAAACCCTTTTTCCAGAAAAGTTGGTACACTTCCTGAAATGCAGCAAAAACTCAATTTTGTAGTATATTTATCTAACAATAATCTAATGAGCAAAATTGAAGCCTGCAACACCCCAGATAATTTAAATAGTTTTGTTTTTTTTGTTTTTTAAACAAGGATGGATCATGACTCAACATTTGCACGAAGAATTTGCATGTGATTATGTCTGTGTTTATATCTATCACCATTTTAAGATGTTGTGGATAGATTCGGGAAACAATGGAGCTGCTACTGACCTCATATATAAAAAAAAACACCATTTCCACAAAGGCTCCAAACTACTTGAGGAAATTATTCTTTCCTCAATGATTTTCTCCTTCTGTCATACGATTATGATAACTGGAAGCCAAACATCAAATTTTGCACAAACGTGGACTTCTCTGCCTCCAGTCCAGGTTTTGAACAGTAAATATCTTTGAACAAGGTGAAATTAAATTCAAACACATCAAAAAGTTAGATGAGTACCCAGTTGTAGACTGGCCTCTACAATATTTGTACTCATTCATTCTCTTTGACTGTTGCAGGTTTCATTAACAAAGAAAAATTGAAAACGTCTTGTGCCTGGAACTTAACGTTTAACTGCAGTTTTCTTTCTTGTTGTTATGCATTTTCAGAAAGTGTTAGAACTTTTCTGGAAACTGGTTTTGTTTATCCTGTCTTAATATATTCTTTATTATCTATAAAAAAAAACCCTCCTGTCCAATGTGTTTCTCATCTGTCCAATTTGACTGTGGCCTTCTCAGATGGTTTCTGTAAAGCTGTACACTGTGTGTAAAGGTAAAGCTACAGTGACCTTTACCTTGTCTGAAAGTGTACTACACTGAATTGCTGTGAAGGACTGTATGAAGTGGCACTGTGCTGTGGCTGTTGATGAGAAACAGCAGCAGCAGCAGCAGTGGTCACCCCTGAAGTTGTTGTTGCCCTATTAGCAGCACCGTCAAGTGTACTGGAACTTTTTTCTTCTACAAATCCTGCTAATTGGTTTCAACAAAGAATGACAGTGTCGCTCTCCTTTTTCTCTCTTCCTCTGTCTCCATCCCCTGCTTCTATCTGCACTCTGATTTCTCCTTTGCCTTGGTTTTGTCCTCTTTGCTGCATAATGCATCTTAATGTTGGATCATGTTCACTCCCACCATACTGGACTCATCTTATTTGTGTTTTCCCCTCTTCACCTCTGCTGCTGCTGCTGCATCATCCCATCTTCTGCTGTATTTGGACTTTTTGGTTTCTCCTTGCCTGCGCCCGTCCCCTCCCCATTGCCTCCCTTTCAGGCTTGTAAACCCAATCACAGCACAGAAGGCGGGGGCACTGGACCATCTCTGCCCCCTCATGTGGGCATGCTGGGCCAAGCAGATGACCAGTCCTGCCCAGCCAAGCGAAGGAGAGCCTCCAGCCCTACTAAGGTAAATGTGACACTGACATTGTGTTCTTTTTTTCCACTTTAATATGCAAAGTTAGTTAATGGTCTTAATTAACGCCAACACCGTCTAATATGACTCCTCAGGGTGAAGTGTGGGCCAGTAATCCAGCACAGCCAATTCCCAGCTGGTACCTCTCCCCACAGAAATTACAGGTAGGTAAAAATCTGTGTATAGTGGGGATGTACCGGTACTGATACAAGCCTCAGTATTAGGCCTGATGCATCATTCAAATACTAATACAAGTACTTGAAAACATTGCCCTGTAGTAGTGTTATTAAGTAGGTGAACAATGTCAGCAGCAAGACCTACAGTAAGATTTGTTCTATTAACAGTAGGGTTGTGTATTGGCAAGAATCTGGCGATACATCTAGGGGCAACGATACGATATATAGCGATATACTGTGATACCATAGGCACAACTATATAAAGTTTTTTTGTACACAATTCAGTTGCAGGAAAACTGTCAACAAAGTAAACGCATTACGCTGTTACATGCTTAACATTACATCAATACGGTATTGTAAATGAAATATCCCGATATTTCAGTGATCAGTAGTTTCTCACACCCCTAGTTAAGAGACAGGTAATTAAATAAAACAGTTGATGATTTACTATGGAGCTGAATACTGTGTTTACAGCACAGTGGATAGATTTAGTGAGAGTGGTTTTTCTAATGACTTGAAGTCATTTGATAACATTTGTGTGTTGTGAATCAACAAATTAACATGTGTGTTATTTTTGTTGATTCAAACCTGGAAACCTGCTACACAGTCTCACACTTTTTTTACTAGAAAGCAGGAGATAATCAACAATGTGGTATTGTTATAAAAGCACTGCTCACTTTCTGTTCATCTGACTGTGTTAACTACTCAAAAAGTTTAATGTTAGCTATTTTTAATATTTATATTTTATTACATTTAATTTTCACCCTGGCTTCATTGACTAATTTGATGATAGCGTCAGTTTAAAGAGATTTTTTTTTATATATTAAGAAGGAAAAATATCTGTGAGCATTTCCAGCTTGATGTCCTCACTGTCTCACATGTCATTCATTCTTGATCTACTTTAGAACACCCGTCATCAGTGTGGATAGCAGTACATATCAACAAGCTCTTTGAATCCTGTATCTTGAATTCAATTTGTCATCATTTTGCCTTCAGGTGATGGAGCAGTTGCGAAGTAACCGGGCCAGCCTGAAGCCTCCGCAGCTGCAAATGCTGGAGCAGCTGGAGTCTCAGTTCGCCATGATGCAGCAGCACCAGCATCAGGTTAAACAAACTATTACAATACTATGAATTTGGGATTCAATCCACTTTAGCCACTGCCTTAGTACTTTGTTACATGGACCCTTCGACAATACATGTAGTGTGTCACAAGGCAAGATGTTTTAAAATACTCTTTTGGTCAGGAACTGAATTACAAAATAGCTATGTCCTGTTCATATATATATCGGTTTTAATGGCTCAAGTTCAAACTTTTTTATTTTATTTTTTGTAATTTTGTAATATGTTTTTTTGCAGATGAGACAGAACGCCTCAGGAGGTCAGGTGCGTCCTTCTGTCCCGAACGGTCCCGCCACCAACTCTCTCCCCTCCCCCAACCTCAGCCTTCACCCCACACGGCCCCATTTGGGACTCCAACGGCCCCTGTGCCCCCCACAGCCTCAGCCACTGGCAAATGGGCCTGTGGGCCCAAGTGCGACACACGGACCCTCGGACTCACACTCTGTGGGCGACAGTAGTAAGAGTAGTAGTAGTTCCAGTTGTAGTAATAATCAGCCAGGGCCCTCGGACCCAGGACCCAACGGAGACGTGCCTTACCTGCAACCTGCCGGCAGCGGCGACGCAGCACTGCTACCTCACGCCTGCACAAGCACGCAAACACAGGACGCCACACCGCAGCAGACCCTGCACCTAAACCCCTCTCAGGTGAGGCATCGAGCAGCATTTAAAATGTTGAGAATCCGATGGTATTGAAGCAGAGCGTTTAAAATGTCTGTGTATTTTTGTCATGCAAGAAAGACTTGTTATATTTATTTTGATATAATGCACACTGACCTCTGCTAAATGTGATATTTAGCATGTGGCTTAAACTTAACTGACAGTTTGTTTAAAGGGTTAACCTTTGGGGGAAAAATGAATCTGCTGTGATGCTTCATTGGAAACATCATTACGTCGCTATTCACTTAAAAAATATCGAGATATTACCTGTTGTCCATGTTGCAGAGCTCTACTGTGTTGTTATCATTGGCTCCATCTGTCTTTTTGTGGTTGTTGGAAAAGTTATAGGTATGGACTGTAATGACAATGAATTTCTTTCTTTTCTTCCTTCGTGTTTTGGGATATAATGTACATGTATGTTTACATTTTACGTTGTGGTGTTTAAAAATGTAAATTGAATAGCAAATATGTGACTTCTGAGAGAAGTTAGTTGTTCAGATCAGTGGACTAATTGAAAAGAAGAGTTAAAAGATTCTTCAGGAAAGTTGGTTGTCAGTGACCTGCAGTGACCTCAAACCTGATGAACTATACCTCAGTCTTCACACGTGTCTTTATTCTCTGGTAAAATGACAACATGAAATTAAATAATTTTCTATGAAACAATGATGTTTTGAAGACCTTTCTGCATAGTATGACGGTTAACACTTCTCTGATTCTCTGATTTTCAGAGAGGGCCTGCTCCACACGTGGCAGCCTCCACCAGTGAGGGGGCTCCCTCTCACTCACAGACCCCTAACTCCACTGCCCCTGTGCCCCCCAACAGTCAGGTTGGACATTCCACAAACGCCCCTTCGCCTCGGCAGCAGCAGCCTCATAACCACCTACCATCACCTCCTTCCCTCCCTCACTCCTCTACCTCAGGTGGAGCAGCACCGGGTGCGTCTGCTACCAAAGATAGCAACACCGCAGACGCTCTCGCCGTGACAACCACATCTCTTGGGAACGGGGGCTCCGGGGGCAAGGCAGCATTGTCGCTGCCATCAGCCGATGAGAAACCGGCACAGGCCGACAGTCTGGCCAATCATGTCCACTTGGGGGACAGTGGCAAAGTGGCAGAGTGCAGTGAGAAGCCCAGCCTTAGCGCAGACAATCCTAGACTATCTGCCCTGCTGGCAGGGGGGAAGGGCACTGATGAGTCTGAAGGCCCTTCAGAAGGGACTGTATCCACTGCAAACTCTGCGCCCGACTCCCAAAAGAAAGTCAACAACATCCACCCAGCCGTGCTGCCCTCCACCCCACATGCGCAGGTCAGCTCGGCCGCCTCTTCGCCCATCTCTGCCATATCCACCGCCACGCCCTCACCAAAATCCTCAGAACACGCGCAAACATGCATCCACAGTCCCGCCACCAACACGTCTGCTGCACCGGCCTTAAACGGAAACGGCAAAGGAGGCATCTCCGAGGACTCTCAAAGCCCGCTGAAGGCTGAGCCGCCTGCCATCACTGGTCTAAAAGCCACTCCACCACACGGACACAACTCCTCGTCATCATCGTCTTCATCTTCAGTGTCCATCTATCCCAGCTCCACAGACGTGCTGAAGGCGTGCAGGTGAGACAACAGTGCCTCATCATTATCATCATCATCCCTAACCTCATTAACTGTTCTGCAAGAACTGGGATCTTAGTTAGGAAATTAGAGAATGCATTTTATAGTTACTGACCTTTCTGATTTCTCACCTTTTAATGTTTTAATCTACAAAAACCATTCTGAACTAAACTCAAGTATTGGGATTAAGTGTGGGGTTTTCAGTCAAATGAGGGCACGCCTCAGTTAGTGTTGGATTCAGTTCATTTAGGACCATGTCTCCTCCCAGTGGAGCAACCGTGTCACTGCAGAAGCAGAGTAAAACGTTACATAACTCTAAGCAACCCTGAAGGCTACTGGACCGTCTAGTTGCTATGCAGATAGTACTCATTTGAATACTTTACACCATTTGGATACTCTGGTGGGGTTTTTTTCTCTGTTTTCCATTTTACAGCTTATTGATAAAATGTGTTGTTGCAAATTATAAGGAGGGAGTTATTTAGCAAGTACCTAAGTATATAAGTCAGTTTTGGACATTGTCTGCTCATCTGTTTTGCAGAAACTTGGGGAAGAACGGTCTCTCTAACAGCAGCATCCTGCTGGATAAGTGTCCTCCCCCACGACTGCCACCTCCACCCTCACCCGCCCTGCCCAAAGACAAGCTGAACCCTCCCACACCAAGCATCTATGTGAGTACTTTTGTAACTTGTAGAATGTGTCTCTGTTTAAAAGATTTAATAATCAAATATCAACATTAGAAAAAGATGCATTAGCATCATCGTAGTAAGGCAAAAGAAAATATGTCACATCTACCAGTATATTATAACCTTTTTATTCCTATTTATTGATCTGTACAACCTCCTGAGTCTGTTGCAGATTACAAAACACACACAGGTTCAGTTAAATAACCAAACTGCGTTTGATTTTAATAAGTTTAAGTTTCTACAGTGCTAACCATCTCACACCAAAGTTCAACAAGATCCATCACTTTAGTTCACCAGGATACAGAAGGTTTCTGGTTGCTGCAGTGTTTTATCTGTCTTAGTATTCAAACCAAATATAAAATATAAATACCAAAATATATATGCTTCAGTCATAAAATACAACTGTGGAAAATTACCTTCTCTTTTACAGTTTTTATAATTTTGTGAAAGTGTTTCACATGTGATGCAAATTTGAGTTTTCATGGCAGAATAAGAATTGATATCAGTACTTCACACAGGTTATGTTCAAACCTGAAACATTTACCCTTAACAACAGAAGAACATCATATTTCAAACTATTATTCTCTCTGAAGTTTGACTAAAATAGTTTTTATCCCCTGTATTCAGCTGGAGAACAAAAGAGACGCTTTCTTCCCTCCTCTTCACCAGTTCTGCACAAACCCTTCCAACCCTGTCACTGTCATCAGAGGACTGGCCGGTGCACTCAAGCTGGGTAAATGGTGTTGCTTTTTTTATGCTTAAGTCTTCCAGGCTGTTCAGTCACTGGCTGATCTGATCACACTTTCCATTTTCCTGCAGACCTGGGTCTGTTCTCCACAAAGACCCTAGTGGAGGCCAATCCAGAGCATCTGGTCGAGGTGTGGACTCAGCTCTCCCAGCCCGCTGATGAAAACTGGGACCCGACCGCCACCAAGAAAATGTGGCGCTGCGAAAGCGCTCGCGGCCATACCACCATTGCCAAATACGCTCAATATCAGGCTGCTTCCTTCCAGGAGTCCCTGCGGGTCAGCGATGCATTTTCACTATGTTTCTTAGAATTTAAGCCTTCACAGAAAAATCTAATACTTGTAAAATTTTCCTAGGAGGAGAATGAGAAGAAAGCACTAAAGGAACCATCAGACACAGAGCCAGCATCAGCAGAGAGGTACAAAGTCATTTATCCTGTGTCTACAGGCAACACGTGGCTCTGCTTTTTCATTTGTTCCATTTTGGAATCAAAGAAATCTGTTTTGGGAAGGTTATATCATTTTTTGTAAAGATGACATGAAACTAAAACGGTATTAAGGATACGATTTAAACGGTTTACTCCAGACGTTATGTCATTGTTGGAACCTCAGAGCTAATGTCTATTTTTACTATTTTTATTAAATCACACAAAGGTATTTAGTTATCATATTAACTATGCATACATTATAAAATATTGCAAAACAACGACGCTTCCTCAATGTTCACAACAATATTAATATGATTGACATAAACATGAGGACAAAAAATCTGTTCAGTGAAAAAAATATAGTAATTAAGCACAAATTCTGCTTTTGCAAATGGAGAAAATTGATTAAGGTAAAAGTTTTTGAAGAGAATAAAAAACAATTTTTGGAAACAAATGTTTTGTAAGGGAAACTTGCAGTCATTTGTAGTTTGCAGTTACTGGTTGTGCTTTTGGCTGATCTCTGGTTTTGACTTTTTAGTGTCGCTCGCAAAAGAAGAGGACCTTTAAAGCACATCAAGTTTGGAACCAACATTGATGTGTCGGACGAGAGAAAGTGAGTGTCATTTTGCCTTTAATGTAGTATCTTAAGTATCATGTATTATTGTAAAGTGTTCTCCGACAGTTGATGCCCAACTTAAAAGATCTTAATGTCACTGCACTCAAAAGGTGGAAGCAGCAGCTGCAGGAGCTCAGCAAACTGCCAGCATTCGCCCGAGTCGTATCCGCTGGCAACCTGCTTAGCCATGTGGGTCACACCATCCTGGGCATGAACACGGTCCAGCTCTACATGAAGGTCCCAGGGAGTCGGATACCAGGTAAGTTTTAGGTTTATTAATTTTACTCACCAAGTTTAATTTTGGTGTGTTTCTGTTGTAAAGTTTGACATTTTTCCTGTTTGCTCCAGGTCACCAGGAGCACAATAACTTCTGTGCTGTCAACATCAACATCGGCCCAGGAGACTGTGAGTGGTTCGCAGTCCCGGAGCCTTACTGGGGGGTGATGAGCAACTTCTGTGAGAAGTAAGGAAACTTTGAGCTCTCAAAGCTTCCCACATCTCATCCCAAAATCTCAAATATATAAAACTATCTTCTCATTACCAACGCCAGGAACAACATCAACTTCCTGATGGGCTCATGGTGGCCCAATCTGGAGGACCTATATGAGGCTGACGTCCCCGTCTATCGTTTCATCCAGCGTCCCGGTGACCTGGTGTGGCTCAACACTGGCACAGTGCACTGGGTGCAGGCCATTGGTTGGTGCAACAACATTGCCTGGAATGTGGGACCTCTCACTGGTATGCTTTAGCCCACACCTTGCCTCAGTAATATAGTACAGTAATAGTAAATATTAAATAGAAGCAGATTCAATTTAGTCTAACACAAAGTCTACACAAATCCAAACCTTTGTGTTTTCCCAGCTCACCAGTACAAGCTGGCTGTGGAGCGTTATGAGTGGAATAAGCTACAGAGTGTGAAATCCATGGTTCCCATGGTTCACCTGTCCTGGAACATGGCCCGTAACATCAAGGTGTCCGACCACAAGCTGTTTGAGATGATTAAGTAAGTCTCATAATCTTTGGAGACAGTTTGGATGTTTAATTCTGAACTTTTGACTTTGGGTTAGTCGGAAGTAACATTTCACGTTCTCATACCAGGTACTGCCTGCTGCGTACACTGAAGCAGTGCCAGTGGGTGAAGGAGGCGCTGGTGGCCGCTGGGAAGGAGACAGTGCTGAGGCCGAGGACCAGAGACGAACCGGCTCACTACTGTACCATCTGTGAGGTCAGTTAGCATTAACGAGAGTGAGAACATGCAGCACACAGTCATTTTAAAGAAGTTTTCCCTGAACTTTGTTTTCATTTGAGTGAGGCAGGATCGTCTCCATGTAACATCTGCTGTCATCATGTTGTGAGGATTGTTCCATTACTCAGTGTCTGTGCAGCAGATGCACCAGGTGGTCTGCAGATGACATCATGACTGCCTGTGTTTTTTTTTCTTCTTTTTACCCTCAGTCAGACTCATGAGTCACAGCTGTATTTTTGTTTTCATGTGTATGTCTGGGCTTCACAGGTGGAGGTGTTTAACCTGCTGTTTGTGCGCCGTGAGCTCCTGTCCAAAAAGCAGCATGTGGTCCACTGTCAGGACTGTGCCAGGAAAGGCAGCGCCACGCTGGATGACTTTGTGGTCCTGGAGCAGCACAGGATGGAGGACCTGATGCAGGTCTACGACCAGTTCACATTAGTAAGTCATCAAAAATGATGCAAAGCTTTAAATATATATAAATAGATATTATCGATTCTTAATGGATTTGATTTAGTATGGATTCATGACAAGAGGTTTCATATGATAATTGCTATACGTAAAGGCCACTTTATATGGCTTTTTATTAGCACCAGGTTCAACCTTTTCTTACCTTATGAAGTGCATCAGATGGAACTGATATTCAGTCCACAGAGTAACATCGAAGATTACATAAGTTCATGATTATCTAGCTATTTTTATTGTATATCTCCTCATTTTTTAGATGTACTAGCTGTATAAGTATATTCACGTCAAAGTTACAGTATTCAGGAATTTTTTGTTAAGGTTTATAAAGGAGGAGCCAGGACCTCTAAGTGTTTACTCCTACATTAGATATGTTGTGGCACAAAAGATCAGTGAGGGCAACCTGCCTGCTGATTAATATACTAGCAAACATTTTATTTTTATTTTCTTCATTAAGAAACTCCAAAAATTGATTTTTGTATTTTAGAATTTCTGAATACTATGCCTTTAGGGAGACCAAGGGGTTTGTGGTATTTAGTACATGATCCATGTTCTATATGACATGGTCTGATGTGTTCAGTGATCTGGCTAACACTTGTCATTTCCCCCAACCAGGCCCCTCCTCTTCATTCATCTTCATCTTGACATTAGATCGACCCCTCCCACCCCACCATCAACCCCACGCCACCTTCGTTTTTTCTTCTGCTGCTGCAGAGCTGTGACGCTGTGACGTTTTGGAAATAAAAGGAACAAAAAAAGCATCCATGTACACGGACCATTTCTGACGTTCAGGAAAAGCCAAGGCCGTCTCCCCTCTCCTCCCGCCACAACCCTCACCACTGCCCCCTCCCATATGGCTGGTCTCCATAGCGACGGCTGGAGGCTAAGTGTGTCTAGTCTATGCAACCTGTTTTTTGAAAGTGCTGGGGCCTGGGCCCTTCCAGAGGGGGCGCTGCTGCAGCTGCTGAGCTTGCTTACAGGACTTGTCTCTCTCCTCTCTCCCTTCCTTTCCTGCCCCTCTCTATTGACAATGGTTCTGCCCTGTTTTACTGAAGGACTTAATCAAAAAAGGTTTAGTAAGAGCAGGGCGAGGACCGGGATACTTTAAGTGATAAAAATGTTTTGTAGATACTTGTTAACTGACACAACTGGCAACACCACCCGTAAAAGACTACTGACTTGACAACCTCTCTCCTCTCTCTCCCTCTGTCTCTCTCCTGATCACAGGATAAAAAATATGCTTTGGATTTCTCCTTTGATTGTTTTTTTTCACAGGAGCACTAGCCTAACTGTTCCTTTTCTATGGTAGATAGTTATTCTACAGCTATTTCAACAGCAAAACCCCCAAAAACATATAAAATGTGAAGAGTTTAGGTGATTTTTTTGTTTTGGTTTTCTTCCTTACGCTTTTTGTTTTTTATACAGCTTTTACATTCTTTGTTTTGGTCTTGTTCTTTTCAAAATGTTTTTGTTTGTTCTTAGGTAAAAAAAAATCTAATAAAAAATAACAAAAAAAAACTTACTAGCCAAGTCACAAAGAAAATGGGTTGCACATAGACTTATGGAAATGTTTAATTTGTGATTTCTTTTCGTTTTGTTGTTTCTAATCTTGATGTAAATTTACACTATTTATAAATACATATTTATTGCTTGAAAAGAAAATTGTTGATGGAATGCTGTTATTTTTTTCCAGAGTACCTGCCATTAAATTTTGAAGGAGTTTTGTCATTTTAACGACTCCTTTTACATTTTCTATATATAAATAAAAATTGCTTAGCAAGCATTGTACAGAAACAGACATTTAAAATTGTTTTATTGTTTGAAGAATGTTTTATGAGTCAATAAACACAAAGTTGTCAAATTAACCACTGCACATTGGCTCCAACTTTCCATGAACACGTGTCACAATTTACAGCAAATTTTACAGACATCAGCATAGTAAATTAAAAAAACATATATAAAAAAACTGAGAGCGCGAGTGTTAGTCTGAAACCCAGCAGACAATGTAGCTGTAGACTGACACACAGAATCCTACACTGTATGCCAGGTCCAGAACGTACTCAGAATCAATAGAAAAGTTGTCTTGATTATTTACATTACAAAAAAATGTAAATTTTCCTGTAAAAAATATAAAAACTAAGCAGAAACTATTTTGTCCTGAGTGGCATGGCTGCCAACAGAGACCCAGTAGCCAGATGTAGCTGCTGCCAGCCCCACAGGATCTACACTGACTACTGAGCAACTGCTGGGCGCCCCCTGGGCTCCGTGGTGCCAGTCATAGCCAAAATGGCTGCCCTGCCTTCACATTTCTGCCAAGATGGGAAATGATGAGCAAGGAAAACAAATCACACTGGGCAAACAGGACTAATAAGCAGGTTTCCCGCAGGATTCAGCGTGTTGTCACAAAAAAGTACAGGTGGAAGTGTGAAGAAAAACAACATAGTTATAGAAAAGAACTTGGGTGTAAGTGAATGTTTCATAAGTGTTTACAAACTCTTATATTTACAAAAATAAATGTTCAACCCAACAGGTGCCATTTGGACTGGTGACAATAGGAAAATGGACAATAAATCACAACAGCAGCAGTTCGCTAAGGACGTCCGGTACAAATACACGTGTACCTTTCGTACCGAACCGTACACCTGCATAACCATATTGTTTGAAGCATGTTGGAACCATGTGAATGCGCAGTCCAACTTCCGCCGGATCGCAATTGCAACGGGACCCAATGTAAAGTTGGTGGCCGTTTCGGGAATCTGACTTGAGGGAGAGTCAGATTCCCGAAACGGCCACCATTAGTAGGTAAGGACAGGCCTTGTATTCTGCAAGCGGCAAACACGTCACGACGCACCGGACGGAGCTTAATTCAGTCCATGTTTATGCGACTTTGTTTTTACACGCAAATCGGGATCTAAAAACAAACTGTGACTGAAACTGTGGCGGACTATCATCATTAAAGGCACCGGCAACCTCCGAAACTAATCAACGCCGCATATCACGAGAAAGAGTCGAAGGAGCCCTGCGTGGCATTTAAGAAGTCGCACTTCTAGAGAAAAACGGTGTGGATGTGGGCTCCCAGGTGGCGAAGGTGAGTTTACACCCGAGAGAGGTCTTTGCCCTAACTACTTTTTTTTTTAATTTAGGGGATATGATAAATTAACCGTTTGTTCTGTTAGTAAACAATTACACGAAATTTCAATAAATAAACACGTTGTTTTCTTAGAAGAGTTATTTTCATTTTTTATGCCAGTAAAATTACACAACAGGTTAGTAAAACTCAAATCTACTGGCCCAGCATCCCGTTATTGTGTTGGACACTGGGATTTTTTTATTTTAATCGTTTTGTGTAAATTCTGTATATAGGCTGTATGTTTAATTTGAATACAAATTACTATTCTAAGTGTTCCCTCTTGCTGAAAAATGTAAATTACGTCATCAGCTACTAGTTGACTATATATATGTATATGTATTCTCACATTTTTTTGTGACTCTTTTCTTTTCGTACCGTACTGTAACACGATTTTCCTTTACTGTTACACCCCAAATGCTTACCACCTTTGCATCTTTTCTCAAAAAATGTCAATAGGAAAATGTCAACTATCAACACATCAACGTGAGCTGGAAGCACTGAAAAACACAAGAGGTCATCGCATCATCTCCATCGTGTCTGCTTCTTCTTCAGCAGGTTGATGTGAGTCCTGCAGAAACACAAAAATCACATCATTATTTTGTATGAGATCAGACACAAGATATAGAATATAAGAATTTTATAGAATAAAAGAGTTTTATTTTTTCATTGAGTTTTTAATTCAAGTAGAGGCTACAGGTATGTTTCTTTTGTTTAGCTCTATGTTCTTGCTTTCTGATGAGATGAACTTCTTTACTGACAGTCAAAACTAGGGGGACTAAAGAGTGATAGTAATTTTTGTTTTCATTTTTGTTAAAACACCAAATACCAAAGATACAGGCAGTGGGAAACTCAATCTTAAAATATTGTAGTCTAAAGCAGACAATTTTACAAGATGTTGTGAAGTGGCTGCAAATCTTATTTTGATTGTCTCACTTTGTTAATGAGGCTGTTTCTTGAAGACTGAGAGCATATTGTTAGTCTTTTAGCAAATGACACTTAGGTTGACCTGTAAGAGAAACGTTCTTTAATATCTCATTTATAATTCATATTTAGGGGTTGAAATATGGAAGCTCATAGGTCGGCGTAATGTTTCAAAGTGTTGAAAGATGCGTTGAAAAATGTTTTCAGCCTACAGCTAAAAACATTTTGACTTCCCACCCACAAACGCTTCTACTTTGGCGGAGGCACACATAAAGAAAACCAAATGTGGGTGGTTCATGGAAATAAGATGCCAGTTTTTCACTATGTGACAGTTAAAAAGTTGAAGTCTTCCTGTTGGCTGTCTGTGGCCATAAAAGCAGGAAACTTGAGTTTTTGTGATACAGTGTAGTGTGAGTTAAGGTGGTTGTGTTTGGTACAGTTCAACGTCTCTATCAACAAGTTACAGTACTGTTGCTCAGAAATGTCAGTAAAAGACACTGTTCACTGCTATAAGACTGTTTCAGAGTGTTCTTTCGGCTTTTTTAAATGCTAAACATATTATTGCAAATGTGGTGCAACTTGCCCGTTTCCACAAGAGACCATTATGTGCGTTATGATGTTATTCGTCCTCTGTTTTATGCTTATGTTTTCCACTTTTGGTCTGTGTTATGTCCAACAAGTGGGACAGTCTGAAATGTCAAACCATTTTGAATGACTTTGTGCTACAATTAGCTGCTCATCCACAATTAGTACGTTGAACAAGAATGTGGTATCTTATGCAAAACAATGGGTCACGTTGCAGAGTATGTGTAACAATATTTTGAGCAACTAAACATGGTCTAACAGTTTTTTCTGAAGACTTACTTTTTAAAGAATAAGTTGCCTTCACTGAGAGTGGGGCAACTTTACGCTGGACCTAATTTTTTGTACTGGCAGTACATGGTCACCTTGAATCAACTGATTTCTTCTACCATAGATATACTTTGGTTTAGATTACTTATGTGTTCTTTTTTTCTTTTTTTTTTTTTGGTCTTTGTTGGCAACCATTTAATCGGCGTATGTCTCTGTTTTCCAGAGAAGTGGAATAATCCATACCCAGGGTACTAAATTGGCTTATGTTGGAAAATAATGGATATAGTCCTTCAACCTTCCTCTCTTTGCCTTATTTTCCATTTATATTATTTGCCAAGTCTGGCAGCGCTCCAGCAGAGAGGTATGTGAACTCTGCTTGGCCCGGAGCTCCCCCTCCATTAAATCCAGATCCAGACAACCTAACAACAAAGTCTTTCTGTGCTGAGTGAGGGGGAAAAGAGGGGGGAAACAGCAAAAGAGAGGAGTTAAAGCAGAGGAGCGATCAATTTACTCCCTTCTCCTCTTCAAACTTCTCCCTTTTTTTCACTCTTTTCCCCTTCCTGCTCCCTCTATCTCTGCACGCCCTCTCATTTCCGCTTTTGTGAGAAACACACAGGTGGCCCTGACTGCTAATTTTAACCAGGCCGATTGTCTGCCTGCGTTTCCCACAGCTATGTATAGATGCCTGCAGTAAACAAAGTAGGTCAACATGAAACACACACATACACATGCACACACACACACACACACACACCAGGCCCTGACCTCTAAAAATGTCTGATTCTCCATTCATTCACTCCCACCTCTGCTGCAAATAATTCCTCCCTGATTGGCCCTCACTGAGAGCCAATGAATGAACAGCTTCCTGCTGCTCATTCATAAACTCAGGGTCATTGAGGATAATGTGGTTTTGGGGCACGTGCACAAAGCACTAAAGGAAAGCCATTTTTGGAGCTAGCAGAGTACGAAATAATAAAAATAATACAAAAAAATAAAATTGCAAAAAATACTTGCTTTTTGACTATTTTTGTTTCACAAAAAAAGTGGTCATGTTGTCAACTACATACTAAAAGTTACACAAAGCAAATACCTGTTTGTGTATCACCCAGCCAAAAGGGTTATTTAAATTTAGCAGAAAAGTCAATGGGGTTCAGTCCTGAAATGGACTCGATGTCCCTCCACCCCACATTCTGCTGTGTTAAATCAGTAATGAATTGAGGTGTGACAGTCTGAGGCTATCTATCACACACACGCACACACACACATATGCTGTGTTGTTTCCTTCCTGGGTAATTACCACCCCGGCGGAACTCTTTCTATGCTAACACTTCTTCACCTCCTGAGTTTCACAGTGAGGCTGTGTTGTTATATTGTCGTAAATTAGAGTTCTTCTGTGTGGAATTTGATGCTGGTATAGTAACACGTAGTTTGGTACTAAGGATAAATAGTAGGCACATTTTGAAGACACCACACGTGTATGCTGCAGGGTTAAGGTTCTCTCAAGGGTCGTTGGCAGGAAAGCAGCCACCTGGGGGATTACATTGAGGGTTCAAAAAGGGTGGATTATACCTTTTTAGATCTCTGGCTGAAGAACTTTTTTTGTAAAGCAGAAGTGATTTTATGATCAAAACCGATGCATTCAAAGGAATGGAGTGCTGTCTCAGTTGAGTGATGCGATGCCAAGGCATGTCCGCAACGGACGAGCCACGATAACAAAGAAAGAAGAAAGTGTTAACGTTGCTGTGGAAACGGAGAGTAATTAGCACCAAGTGGTATTCAGAGAAAAAAAGGGAAGAGTGAGAGGAGTGTGGTTGTTTGATGGCATGTTTTCAATGGATGAACACAGAGAAGGACAACGTGATGAAGTTACAGCGCCATGGTCTCAGGTATCAGATTACGCGCCAGCGCAGACTTTGATTGCTGCCCTATTTAATTTATTTTTATTTATCTCAGTTTATGAGCTCAAGCATTATATTCATTTTTTCCCCTGAATGCAAAGAGTTGAACATTTTCCCAAAAGCCTGGCTGTGTTTGAAGAGAGACTGTGAGTGGAAAGTGGGATTCAGCTGTTGATTTGGCTCCACGCTGCCTCATGTGTCCATCCATCTGTTGGATACATGACGTTTGTTTCACATATCTTCTTGCTGTTTAATTATCTGGTACATTGTGAGATGCTGGGATGAATTGTAAAGTTTCTGTTCTCGGGATAGTAAAACATGAACAAGAATGATGAATTTTGGCCATTGCGGGTCACTGATTTGTCCTTGGTTGCTTTGCGTTGTTCACAGAAGATGTTCATGCTCATCCTGTGTTCCTTTGGCACATAATACATTATGCGAATGAACAGATGGCAACTTTTATAAAGTTTTGGCTAAAAATTGCTCCTACATGCACTATTTGTAGTACAAAGAGTCCCCAAGTGAAGAGTAATTACTACAGAAGTTTTGATTGTCAAAACATTACTATGGGTTTATCATTAAAAAATGCCAATGATGCCAGTCAACGGAGATGATCAACACCCAACTAAAATGCACTGAGTGAGTGAGTAATCCAATTTTCTAGCTTTTCTATGCAAATCTTCCACTTTCAGTGTAGGCGTTTGGTGACTGGCGAAGGCTTAGATGGTTGAATTAGATTCAAATAAAACCCTCATCAATGGTAGTGGTAACTGTCCCACTGAGAAACGACCCAATGAAACCCAAGGACTGTGTAGAAGAACTGCAAGGAGCAAATCTGCTCCAAAGGTGAAGCTGGAAAAAAATCAGCATGTGGTGATGTCCAAAGTTGTGGAGAAAGGCAATATGATGGGTTACCAGACATGATTGACAGCTGACGCATCCAGTAATGATACCTGGCAAAGCTGAATGTTATGATGTCACATCATTGGTGAAAGTCACCTACATTGTGAAAACTGTGAATGTCACCCACGTTGCCACAAGCCCAGGTCGTAAGTAAGAAGTTCAGCTGTGAATCACATGTGGTGACCAATCATATTCACCCTCCCACTATACATCCATCGTCTCAACTTGGATGACTGACAAACACCAGTTTTGTGTGTGGCAGCAGTATCTATGAGCATGTTTATCCTTTCTGTGTGGATTGTTTGTTTGTTTAAACAAGACGTGAGTGATGTGGTTGTTGCCCGAGTCTCTATTAAAACGAGTGTTAGTCCGTTTTCCACCCCCACAATGTCTCCAACACTCGACACCCACACAGTTTGCCGTTTGTTCTTCAAGCGCAGAACAAGCTCCTCAATCACTCACCTCTCTGCTGCAGCTAATGGCGGCCCCCTCCCCAGCCTACAAGCACGTATACACTCGGAACAATTATGCAGATGTGCAGCTAAAACCACTTTGGTGGCATAATCCCACAATCAGTCCATTATAGTAATTGTCTTTAGCGAGTGGGCGATTATAGTTTCAACAGATTCTGATGAACTGACAGTGTGAGGCTGGTTTTATGCAAATACATTGACTTTTTTTTTCATGTGTCACATTCAAAGTATTCGGCCGCTGTTGAAAACTGCGCGTGTTTGACCACCTGTGGGTTCAGGAACAGTCTGACAGATGTGATGGACGGAAGTCATTAGCTTTTTAGGGAGTTTGGAGAGAAAATTATTGAGAGAGAAACAGAAAAGAAACAATTCGTGTTTTTTAGAAAAAATGGTCGAAATTCTGGTCGCTGTTTGAAGGAAGTTTTAACAGGCGTTTAATCTTTTAGTCAGTGCTGAGACAGAGCCTTGGAAGCCTTTGTCATGAGTCACTGGGAATCACAAATCAATCAAAGATTTTTACAGCTCTTTTCAAACAAATCAAAGCGCTTTACAAGCCAATGGCAAAACATATGGTGGGTTTAAAGGTTGTTCAGCTTTTATGGGGGTGTATGAGTCAAGTATTTACACATTATAAAAGAAAAGGCTCACCACACTATCTGCACATTCTGAACTCTACATCTGCGGCCTGTTTTCCTGTTGACAGTTGGCATTTGTGACCTCACTGCACCAAAGTCCATAGAGAATTTCAACCATTTTACTTTGACACCGGAGCTGTTTGTCTGTTTGTTTGTCTGTTGTCTTGAGAGTCTCCCTGTAGTTTGTGTCCCTGATTCTAAGTTCATTCAATTGTTTGACTGACTGACTGGTAAATGCTGTAGTAAATTAACAAATCCTATAGGCTTTGGTGTAAAACTTGTAGTTTTCTTAATGTACTTTTTTAAATGTGACGGAAGCTTTCTTAGATTTTTTTTTAATAGCATTTGTCAAGTGGTTATGATGAGTTTTTTTTATTGTCCCTGAATTGGCTCAGCCATCTGCAGCATTCATTTATGCAGACAATTATATTTTCTTTCTCTTTTCCCCTTTGTTGCTTTTTTTTGTGTCTATTTCTGAACACAGTTTCTGCTAGGTGCTGAGGTCATCGGACCTCTTTGTCCACTTGCAAGACATCAGCTGGTAACATTTGAGTGTCATGTGAGTTGGCTGAATGTCAGCTGCTGCTATAATGCAGTTAACTAAAAGAGGAAGACCAGGAATGTGTCCCACACTCAGTCCCAGTCCTCCACCTCCCCCTTCTCTTTCTCCTCCTCCCCCTCAGTCATGGGTTCTCCACTGGGTAATCGCATACCAAAAACACAAGAATTTCCCCCCTCTAGTCCCCAGGCTGGGGCTACCCCCCTCCATTCCTGTATCATCAAATTGACCTGAGATCACCACAAAGGAAAACTGGAAAATGCTTGAGTCTAGGCCATTCAAATTAAAAGCATTGCCCTGACGGTGGCTGTGTGGCTTATTTGGTTTAAGACATTACTGCTCATCAGTCCAAACATAAAAACATAAGCCAAACTGCAAACCATATAACTCTTAGCTCACTAGATTTATCATCATCATCAGGTGGATTATATTTTTAAGTCTATCTATCTATCTATCTATCTATCTATCTATCTATCTATCTATCTATCTAGTCTAATGCCTTTACCATTAACTACTTGGAATAAATATTTCTTCATTATTTATGGCCGACTATTCTTTCTCCTTAAAAACATGTTAAATTGCTGGATTTAAACTGACAGTTTAGCTTCTGAAAGTGTGAAACATTGACACATTTGCTCGCACAGACTTCACCATCATTGCTGCCATCTTACAAACCATTTTGAGCCAAGAATGAGCTCAGCTGCCAGAAGAGATAAAAAAAGTGTCCTATCCAGCACCAAGTACCACAGAGAAAAAACACAATTTTGTAATAGAAGTACACACAGGAGTTTATGATCCACTGCTGCCTTCATTTTGCCTTCGTTTTGGGTGTTTTTTTTTGCGAAAATACTTCTAATCTTTTGTGTCAAATAATTTTTTTTTCAATCAATTTTGGAAGTTTAAAACTTGATGTGGTTAATGCACAAGTGTACTATGTACAACTATTCATGTACTATGGTATATTGCTTACCTAGTTGACAAATGTGAGAATGTTAAGACAAATGTCCTTTATATACATATATATTTACAAGATTTAAAAACTTCTAAACATGACAATACAAACTTCAAACGTTCTAGGCCAATGACACAAGTCATTTTTTAAACTCTAATTCCATGTAAAGGAAAAAGAGAGGAGTTGATGGAACTAAAGTGAGAGTGTGGTGTTGGTTAGCCAATTCAAGTGTTTGATTATCCTATAATGGCCTGACTATGGTAAACCTCACCATGGCTGTCGCTGTACTGGATCTAATCAGGCTCACTAGATCTCAATGTTTCTCATATGGTGGAATCTTTTCATCCTGTATTTCAACATTTATTCACAAAAAGCGAATTTCATTCCTCAAATGTAAATTCATACTACAAACTGCAAGATTTTTACACTAACACGCCACTGTACCAAACCTCACCTTGCTATAACATGACCCTTATTTTGAAATGTGTAACCGGAAGTGCAAAATATAATTCAGCTAACTTAATTCTGGTTGTGGGGGGCATCGTTTCCCAAACTGATCTTAATGTGAAAAATACAGAGAAAACACCGGGCGCATTCCTGAGACCGAGAGACAACTATGCCAACCGAGTCAGTGTGCGTGTGAATGTGTGTGTGTATGTGTGAGGGTGTGACAGAGCAAGAGAGAGAGAGAGTGTGTGTGTGAGTGCGCGTAACCTGTGCGTCTCTGCGGGGGTGGAGAGCTTGAAGACCACACACTTTGCGCATCGACTTTACCACACACGCGCGCTCACGCAATGACGCGCGCCTACGCGCACACCAAAGCCACACACTGGCACCTCCAAAGCGATCGTGAAGTTTATGAATAATGGACAAAAACATAAACAGATACAGGTGAGGATGTGCGCTGAACGCAAACGCGACATTGTGGTCCGTAAAAGTCCCTTTACAGCCACAGAGACACAAACTGAAATGGGTCTCCTCCACGCAGGAGACCCGCATGGTCTGAGCCGTGCGTAATGCTCAGGACACTGTGGACCCGCTCGAACGCGTGACAATAAATAACACTTAAAAATAAATATCAATAATCAACAGAAGAAAATGAATAGATATGTAAAATTCTGTTCTGGTTTTGTTTTGTATCTTTAAATTCAAGAGCGATGGCACGCTCCGCGTTGCGCAATCTGCGTGGATTAGACTGCGATGCCGACAGAAAACGAAAAGTCTAGAAAGTCCTAATGTGCAACAACAATAACAATAAAAGAAATCTGGTAAGGAAAGTTGCGTTATTCTTCTACACCGCGAGACGATGTCCGAGTGGAAAAGCGGATCCACTTACCGTGGCTGCGTCTGCTGGCCGCATGTCCCCACGCCACTGTTTGTGTCTGTGAGTGAGTGAGTGAGTTGGTAACAGAGTGAGTGTGTATGAGAGAGACAGAGAGGGAGACTGAGAGAGGAAGAGAGAGAGAGCGAGAGAATAGAAGGCGCATTCCAACGTTAAAGAAGTTCGGAAGCTCACGCAGCGCGACACGTCAACGCGTGTTACGTGAATATCACAAAGAAGGATTTCAGACTGATTCTGGTTGCCACTCTGGTTCTGACATTTGTCTCTTTCGTCGTAGGTTTCTGTTGTGTCTCGAACTCAGTAGTGGGTTGTAGCTTGGGTCCTGGTTCTGACGGTATTCCGGTTGTGACTCTGGATCATGTTCTTACTCTGGTTCTGGCTCTTGCTGTTGCTCAGCTCTCAGGGCTTCTGTAGAGGCAGTGAGTGGAGTTTCTCAGCTAGTTCGATTCTTCTCTTGAGGTATTTAAGATTCTTGCTTTGGTCCAGGCACACAGCCAGCTTCTAGTTCTGATCGAAGGTTGCTACTGTGAACCAGGTTTTCGTTTTTGCTCTAACTTGGGTCCAGACTTCTTCTCCATCTGGTCCGCCTCCAACTCTGGTCAAGACTCAGATTCTGGTACTTCACGTGACTCTCACACTGGCTTTTTGGCCTCCCCCTGGTTTTGGTTCAAGGCTTGCATCTGGTTCTTGCTTCAAATCTGCTTCTGGTGTTGTGGCCCTTATTCTAATGTAGTCCAAATTTGGTTTTGATCCTGGCTCTGATTCTCACTCTAGTTATTGGAATCTGATCATGAATATGGCTCAGCATGTGGCTCTGATTTGGGCTTCCAACTCTGGCTTGGGCTCTGGTTCTGGTTCTGGCCTGCATTATTGTGAGTCCACTTTGGTTTTGGCTCACGCAGTGATTCTGCCTCCATGACAGGTTCTAGCTCTTGTTGTCACATAAATGTGATGTTTCTGAACCTAGTTTGAGATTCTGGCTTGGGTTCTTCCTCTGGGCTGACACTTTTCTTTTTGCAAGAACTCTGACAGCAGTTCTGGTACTGGCTGTCACGTATGGTAAAGCTGGTGAATCCATTGTTCTTATTATAATTATACAGTAGTACAGAGTGTGCGCTGGTCCACCTGAAAGAGGGGAGAAACTGACGCTGCTTAGAGACAATGCATAAAGCTCCATAATGAGTTAATATGTGTATTATTGAAACTGTCAGGATAACTGCAGCCAAATGTAGTAAAAATGTACCAAAATGTCATGACATGAATCACGTAGTTCTACTGATCGTTGATATATTGCATATTTATTAAATCATAATTGGAAACACGTCATATTAATTATTAAAATAGAAACATCCTGATAATTGAAATAAATAGAAAATAATTACATAGTGATAGACCATTTGGTGATAGTGAAGGAAAAGTATGTTTTGGGGTTTTTAAGGTCCATTAATTCAACCACAGATGTACTGTGATCAACAAGTTCAGTGATAATTAATCCAAAATTAATTATTCAAATCTTTCGTTTTTGAATAACTCTTTATAAGAGAACCTCTGGGTGTTGGTTCTCATCCTTTTGTCAATCACCTGACGGTGGAGAAATAAATGTTTTCTTTTTAAAAAAAAAAAACTACTTGCATCGTCATTGACTGCAGCTCTGACTTTCTCAGACTCTGCCCTTGTTGGAAAAATATTTAGAGGACTATAGATATACATATATATTGTATATAATGACGCATGTTTAAAGTTGATACTGCAGTGGTGGACTTTTCTTTCTTAACTGTCTGCATCCTGGTGAAATGTTCCGGTTGGAATGTGATGGAATGATGTATATCATCAGTCAGTGTCATAGGAAACAATGGAACACACACACACACACACACACACACACACAGGATCGGACCGCTATTCTTTTGAA